TTGGACGCACATTAACTGGGCCACGTTTCGGCAAGGTCACTAGAAATGTGACTGCCGACTTGCGGTTTATGGCTCGATTTATTGCTGAGAAGAATATTCGATTACGGGAAAGTGTAGTAAAGGCGCGGGGTTTCTTTTTATGAGGACACGAAGGAATGGAATACAAGCTGATAGCTATTATGATGGAAATGTGGTAATCTATAATGGTTACATGAAATTATAGGGCATTTTTCGTCAAATCCAATGAATTGACCTTCTAGAATTAAGGGCTTGATACGAGATTAGGTCTTGTCTTCGCGACAAGACCTAATTTCGTCAATCATTTCTTCTCGGCCGAAAACTTCTAAAATGGTTAAGATAGTTTAGTATTGTAACGCCTAATAAAGGTGAGTTCGGTTCCGGAGATGGGTTGAGGAATCGTCTTTCATTTTTCGTTGCGAGCAACTAAGGAGTCCTCTCCCAACTCTGTTACAACATTGGGTCTTTTAAGTTAAGAGTGAATAAGCACTATTTGAGCTTGCGTATAACAGCTTAGACTGCATCATCACTTAACATCAGGTGAATTTGCGGTGAAACGCGCTCAATTTTAATAATAAAAATGAATACAAGTACCTCAACCATTCTAGAAGTTTTCAACCGGGAGGAAATTGGCTATATTGATCTGTTGCTGGTTCATGCGCCATTTTATCATCTCTTCTTTTAATCATAGCTTCAAAGATTTCTTGAACGAGAAGGGTCTTTGTAAATTATGTACTTTTGACTTGTAATATGCCTTTTGTGCAATAACTAGTTATTCTACTGGCGCTAATGCTTTGCTAAGAACTATTGCTCTATTTCCGACGGCCACAGATTCGATTCTGCTCAATATAAATATTTGTATTCATGTGTATGATTGTTTGTATTGGTCTAGAGGTTTCATGTGTATATTATGGATGTATTTATAATATTGTTATGTACTTATATCAGTTGTTTGGCACTCGTATTGCTAGCTCTACATATTTTGGGACTAGATGGCGCCATGCGAATTGCCCTGGGTTATTTTATTATTACTAGTGGTCGCACAGTAGTCGAAATTGGACCATAATTAATTTAAATTATACAATTTAACATTATTTAGATTCTATTGTCAATAACTATACTTCTCAACGCATGTATGTGTCAAATTCATGCTAGAGTGTTTAATGTTTTTTATTGAATTCATGTATTTTATATAAATAATTTAAAAAAAAATATTGTCATTCTGCACTTCTCCTCTATATGAACTATAAATGTGCCAAATTTCATATTCCTCCATCCTCGCAATTTTCGTAAAAACATGTAAAATGTTTTTGTTTCCCGTATCTATAATGATTATTCAACCAGACGAAAATCGTAGCAGAATTATGTAAGCGATAGAGTAATTTGAATTAATGACATTGTTGCAGAATTGCATTATTTATTGAGCAGTCGTGTAACACAATACATTATGTACCCGCTGATTGTTTATGACGTGTAAGTCCTATTACATAATATACTGCCATTTTGTATGGCAGCATCTCATTATCATACAATTATGTATGTCTATTTATGTGTGGATAACAGATTATCAGTACACAAGTAATAATCCATACTTATTAGTAGTTTGGTTTAGAATTCTAATAATTGGTATCACCCTGTTCGACGGTGTCGGTTTAGCACCGTACTTCTGATAGTCGCGGGTTCGATTCCGCGCATGGTACAAACTTTTGTATTCTTGAGTATGATTGTTTGTATTTGACTGGGAGATTTCTATGTATATTATTTGTGTTTACAAATTAAACATGTTAGTATTTATGTCTGTTGTCTAGTAACAATAACATAAGCTCTACTTAGCTAGGGACTAGACTAGACTAGACTCCGTGAATTGTTTTGGATTATTATTATTATTAAATGCAAAATCATAAATATAACAACATTGTGTGACTATTTCTGTCTTACTCTTCGCTAATCAATGTTTCCAACATTGATAACGAGGGTAGATTCAACGCCTGTCATGTCGATTTTAAATATACCAAGCGAAATTCTTCTCAATAATCTCTCTGACTACGTCATCTAGGATTAAGTCGGGAGGTTATATTATAATATCGTAGAATTACAGAGTTGTTCCTTCATATATATTTTCCAATGTGCGAGATAATGTAATTGTGCAATGCCTATAAACTTATGCAAGTGCGAACAATAGGTCGAGAAAGTTTTATGAGGTTTATCTCAATATCAGTAGATGTATGAGTGAGTATGAGTCTGCTGTAACACATGCAGTCTGGATGCTATGATGTTCTTGATGTATAAATAATATGTTCGATGCTTACTTGTAGGCGTTTAATACAAAAGTAAAATATGTATATAATTGGTAAAAGGTACAATACCAATAATAGATAATATATACTAAATATAATAGATATATAAATAACTGCCTGATATAAAGTTCCAATATTACTAACTTGATTTATTGATAATATGAGTAAGGAATACCTAATTAACTATAAATCAATCATTTAAACTGAAATATATGTTTCAAATCAAATAAAATAATAGAGTAATTCCAGTGTTATTAACTTGTATTATTAATAATATGACTCGGTAATACCTAGTGAACTATAAACCAACTATTTAAACAGAAATATAAGTTTAGAAATCAGATAAAACAATAGTAGTACTACCAGTAGTAGGTATTACTTACTATTACAATTACAAGTAGTTCCCCTGTAACTTTACATAAAGCAGAGATAAGCTATCTCTAAGGGACCCAATACACTTCCGACAAAAATCAGACGGTCGGCACAAACCGTCCGATTTTTGTCGGTAGTGTCGTCGAACGATGTCGTCGTCCAAGATACTGACGATTTCACTAAAGCTTGGCAGTCTTTAATAATTAAAATGAAAATGTGTCTATGAATTCAATAACATGCCATTATCCGAGTATTGCTGGGTTGATTCACCCCAACAGTGCTCGGATAAGGGAGCACTTGCTCGAGAACCGTACACAGCGGCCCGTAAGGGCCAGTGGATGATCAGAAGCCAAGTTCGATTGTGTAGTCATTCAAGAAACATTAATTAATTCATAATAGTTTTAAGATACAAACGTCTTGGTTGTAAGTGTATTATATATATAATTAATAAACATATTATACTTTATATTATAAAGAAGTAAATATTGTGAGTTTGTGTAATCTCTGCTACTACAAATAGGATTTCGACCATTCCTTTAGTGTTGGATAGACCATTTATCGAGGAAGGCTATAGGCCGGAATAACATCACGCTACGACCAAAAGCGGTGCTGCAATGAAAAATCCCAAATCGGGGAAAATTTGACGCAGATGAAGTTAAGCTGGTTAGCTATTAAAAATAGCAGGCAGGGCCCGTCCGATCAGAACCTAATAATGTGAGCCCAGGTTAAATTACAATCTTTCTTCGACACCAATACGCCAGACGTGTACGCGTACAATCTAAGTGTAAACAATATTTGAACTCTTGTCCGTGTGATTGTAGTTATCTGTGCGCAGTTTGAAATAGCAATTGTTGTATCATCTATAAATAATTATTACCTATTCCATAACGGGACATTGGACACATTATTATTATCTATATTCGTTTTGTTTCTCCTTTTAATTAATATGAAATATCAGTAAATTTTAGTGGTATTTTATCGATTGGCTTTTTTTTTTCGTACATATAATATTTAGTTTAATTAGTAAAACCACAAAAATATTGTTAAATATGAAGCCTAAGAGTTTGTAACCGTAAATAAAGAATCATTACGGCACAAAATTTTAAATTAAACCTAGCAACACAGAATAAAGCTACCGTAAAGCATAACAAAGTACTATCAAACATTGTTTCTTGTTTACTACCAATCATTCAGTGCCGTGACCACACAGACAATTTACATTGTATTATTATTTCGTATGAATGTTCGTTTATAATCTATATATAATAAAGTACAGTTGATTTAAGAATTCTACCCTTTTGTATGTTACGACATATATGTTATATAAAGTACTAGCTATCTGCCCTGGCTTCAGACGACGGTCACATGTAATGTACATATAAACCTTCCACTTGAATCACTCTATCTATAGCTTAAAACTACATGAATATCCATTGGTTTGCTTGAAAGATCTAAGCGAATAGACAGCAGAAGCGACTTCATTTTATACCATGGTAAACTAAGCAGTATTGGTAGTCAGTTTAGAATATTAATAGTATGGTCTTAATATATGTATTATATCTCTTTTTTTCGCATAGTAATATCTTCCGGTATATCCGATATATACAAGTATATATACATAAATTAATATTTACATGTGTAATTATGAATTATAGATACATTTTTATAAGAGTTTATTTTAAAAATAAAATGATATAAATAAAATCATTCGCATACGTATTGACCACTTAAACTGTGACCATCTGGCTAGACAATTGGCCTCGTGCTCGTTTTCTTGTTTCGTTATAACAATACTTAGTCGTACTTTTATACTTGACATAGCGTCCTAGACTCGTAAGGTCGCGAGACGCCAAAAATATTTTATTATATTTTATACTTTGAACTAACTCGCCGGTGATAATATCGTTAACAAACTAAACTGATGAGACATGTATCGCCTTAATACTACAATGTATAATCTATGCTAATAAAATAAGAATCGGCAAAATAGTTTCGATTATAAAACAAATTCATCTGAGTTTCTTGCCACTCAATTAAATCTGTATTAATAATAAATAATAGTAATACTAAATTGGACGGTATACGATAAAACAGCCCAAATGAAATTTACGTTTACGACACGGCTAAAATGTCCTACATGAATAAATATTTCTTTATTTGATTGCGTGAATTGTCCGAGATATTATGTTATATACTTTGAAGACTATTATCCCATATAGGACAGTAGAAAGCAATCCCACGCAGCAACTTTGTACAAAGTGTACTCCTAATAACATTCAATTATAATTAACTTTAACATGTTTTTGTTGACAGCGAGAGCAGCATGTTCGTGTCGCGTCGTCGTTGGATCCTGAAGACTTGCGGGACAACGACGCCGCTGCGGTGCGTGCGCGCCGTGCTGACGCTCGCACGCGACGTCGCCGGCCACGCGTGCGTGCATAACGTGTTCTACTCGCGGCGGGAGTTTGCCCGACCCGCAGCGCAGCTCTCGCCTCACGACAACTTCGACACCGAGGTATGTACTGCAGTAATAATGTGTTAAGTACGTCACATGCACCTTTGTTTGTGCATTAAAGTTCTACGTCGCCGGTCACGCGTGCGTACACAACGTGTTCTACTCGCGGCGGGAGTTTGCCCGACCCGCAGCGCAGCTCTCGCCTCACGACAACTTCGACACCGAGGTATGTACTGCAGTAATAATGTGTTAAGTACGTCACATGCACCTTTATTTGGGCACTCTTGCGTGCACAATGTGTTCTACTCCCGGCGGGAGTTTGCCCGACCCGCAGCGCAGCTCTCGCCTCACGACAACTTCGACACCGAGGTATATACTGCAGTAATAATCTATTAAGTCCGTCACATGCACCTTTAGTTGGTCTACGTCGCCGGTTGCGTACACAACGTGTTCTACTCGCGGCGGGAGTTTGCCCGACCCGCAGCGCAGCTCTCGCCTCACGACAACTTCGACACCGAGGTATGTACTGCAGTAATAATCTATTAAGTCACATGCACCTTTAGTTGGTCACTCTTGCGTGCACAATGTGATCTACTCCCGGCGGGAGTTTGCCCGACCCGCAGCTCAACTCTCGCCTCACGACAACACCGAGCTATATACAGCAGTGCTAATGTATTAAGTCCATCACACGCACCTCTATTTGCTCAGACGTAAGTCGGTCTGTCTCCTTTGGTCTTCTTCTATTTCTTTTATTAAAGCGCGCTGATCAAACAGTAACTTTATTATTAGCTCTATTTCCAAATAATAATTTACAGTGCTATATTTTATCGTGTACGTATAAACGCACTTTTGTTGATTCTTCTGCTGCAAATGTAATTTTTCCTGTCTTTTATATTCGGCGACAAATACAAAACATCGAAAAATACAAAAGATCTTTGAAGTAGCTATAATAATTAAACAAAAGAGTATATATGCGTGTGTATCTACATGATAGTGTTTAAAGGAATTTTATTCAATTTTTTTTCAAATATATGAGTAGTAGTACTGTACTATCTCCGCGCAATGTTCTTAGAAAGGTGTACAAAGTTTTTGCTTCATCTATGAGTATATAGATTTGTAATACTATATTTTCTCGTTCTTTAAACTCAATATTTGTAGCTACCAGTTCGACTTGGAAGTTGAACTCTTACGTGTTATCACAGTAGTAATACTACACCCGACACGCGTTCGTGTAATGCACAGGGGTCTGTGATTAGAGGTCGTGAGCCGCACAGAGGACGATGTATCCGATACTAATAATATGAACGATAAGGTTATTCATTGTTGGAAGACACATTGTGGCCTAGTAGTTTATTACACCCGCTTTGGAGCCAAGTGGGTTCTGAGTTCTTAACATTGTCACCGTTGCGATAGTATTCTTGATGGCTATGTTATAACTCCGTATCCGGGAGTTTCATTGCTGTAACTTTCTCTTTCGCAACGTAAATATTGAGCAAAGCTACACAAGCTGTAAAAATGGATAAGACTGGGGTTAGTCTTATCCACTCTTTACGAAAGTCGTTTGAAAAGAATTTTGTAAAGAGTTACCAACCGTCCTGTTCCTAAGAGTCAATTTGGATTTGCAATTATTTAAATATAGATTAATTCTATTTCTAAAAAAATAAGAAATTAAATTTATTCGGTAGATGCTAAGAAATAAGAAAATTGAATAAATTCAAAACATTTGTTAAAGCAAAGCCTATTGCATGGCAATAGTTGTTCATGCACATTTTCATTTAATGTTAGACATAGACAGCTATATATATACACTGTTGGATTACGAATCCTTATAAATTAATATATAAAGAGAGAGTGGACTGTATTTATTGAAAAGAAAATAATTAATGGAAAAGGAAGTAAAAATACGATTTCGTACTGGAAGAACGTCTTCCACACTCCGAACACCCCAAAGTAAGCAATGTAACACCAAACTTACTCACCTTTGCTCAGGATCGTCCCGATGTGTAGTACTGTTTAGAGGCCACGCACTTTAGAGTGTATATTTTCATAAAAACAATTATATTATGTTAAATAAATCATTAATTATCTTGTTTTATATAGATAAAAATACGGAGCGTCCTTTTAATTCCAGTTCTTATTTTCAATTGTTTTATTATTCTTTTTATGAAATTTAAGTGGCCACATGTTTTTATATGTGGCCAGTATTACCGAGCGCCCTTTGCTCCAGTAAGCAAGCCGGTGATACAACCTGCTTATACTAAGGAGGTTCGGAATACGGAACATATACACTGTAAATAAACTGTTTAAAAAAAAAAAGAAATTCAATTGAGTTTCTTGCCAGTTCTTCTCAATTGAATCTGTATACTGAACAGGACGATAGGGAAAATTGTAATTTAAAAAATTTAAGTTCATAATCGGCTAAAATATTCTACATGAACAAATATTTTTTTAATTTCAGTCACTATAAAAAATAGCTACAAAAATACATGTTTTTTGTTCACAGGTGGAATTGCTTGATTCGTTCTTCGGCGACGGCCGCGCTTATATCATGGGGCCTGAGAAAGATTGCTGGTACTTATACACGCTGCTGCCACTCGAAGGTCCGTTTATTTTTCTCTTCATTAATCTCTGGTAGATTGTAAAAAATCCCACCTATTTTAGCCGCTTTTTTCGGACTACTCTAATGCTGTTGGCCACAGCTGGCCTTTACAGCTTCACTGGATGATAGGGGGCGAGTGCAGATGGCACTTTAATCCCGCGGAAGGACTTATAGAGCGGCTGAAGGCCAACTCCCACCTGACTAATAAGACTTTAATCATTGGTTATTGCTATGGGGTTCGAAATACGGTTTAGGCCGTCGTAATTTCGATGCCCGTTTAAATTGACCGGTGGGGTTATATAAAACCGTCAGATTTTTTGTTACTGTAGATACATAAAAGAATGCGCACAACGGCCCGAATGAGAGGCCAATTGCGGAAAATGGAGTCCAACCTACACCTACATAAAAGAATATATTATTGTAATTATTATTAATATACAATAGTATATTATTGTATGTTTTTTGGCGAGAACCTATCAAATCAAATCAAAGTAGTAAAGACTTCTTACTTATTCGTTTGTATGTCACAAGCATCTTAGTATGCATCAAACGATTTTTTAACGTGACAGGTACAGTTGACGCCCTGGAGAAAGAACAGCGCGAGGTGGGCAACGGCTGCGACATGTCGGAACCCGACCAGACCATAGAGATACTGATGTCGGACCTGGACCCTGAGGTCATGGATATATTTACGCGCGCTGCCTCCGAAGATGCGGCACATGCCACGCGGGTGAGTACGTCCTATGTGTCTGATGAATCCCACTAGAACATGATCGTTATGGCTGTGGTGTTAAAACTCTTTATTGTTTGTCTAACAAAATAGTGGTTTAAAATAAATAAATAAATGATTAAATATTAGATTTTTTGTCTTACTTCCTACTTACTATATATATACGATACTTACTTCCGTTTATAATGTTTTTGTCAACAGAAACAAATTGTTGCTTTAATTTCAAATGATTTCATAAATCAAATCGTATAACTTTTATTAAAATGTCTTTATTTATGAATTCTGAATATTCGTTAGAATGTTACCAATTTTATGTTAATGTAAGGACAATTTTTCTTTCAGAAATCGGGCATTGACAAAATCATTCCAGGGATGGTCATAGACGACTTCCTATTTGATCCATGCGGCTACTCTATGAACGGAGTTGCCAAAGACGTAAGTAATCGTAGTTAATTTCACCTCATATTTTTATAAATAGGACGTGACACTATGACACTGCCAAATATAAAAAAAATAACAATAAATAAAACGAGTATAAATCTAGGTGGAGCGACTTACGTAGGGTTGCGGGTAATAACTGAACGAGTTAGTGTTCTTGTTAAAGCTGGGCTCAAAATTACTTGTATCCAGAGCCGTAAAAACTGAAACAAAAAAAAGAGCTGAAAATCGTGTACAGTGTCGTGCCTTGGGAGAGACCTATATATATCCAGCAGGCTGATGATGATGATGAGTAAAATTATGTTATTTAAATTTAAGATGGGATCCAAGGCGCTCCTCACCACTGCTCCAATATTGCCCCTAATTTTAGAGTCATATGTAGGCAGGCTATTTTAAGGAGTAATACTATGCACTTATATGTTAGAAGGGATGACATATATAAATGATATAGGAAAATATAAAGTTCCAATATTATAAAATAATGTAAAAATATTACATTTTTGTTAATGTCTGTTCATTTTTTTGCTGCCAAAGGGACATAAGGATCTGCCATCAGTAAGTCTATTTATTAATATGTGGCTGAAGTAGTATAACTACATAGACATTTTATACATATATATAACTTCCGGAAGAATTAACCAAAATGATAGCAAAACTTGTATATTAAAATTCGTCGCATGGTTTAAGAAAACTTAAGTTAGTTGAAGTTTTAAGTAAAGAAATATTATTCAATCTATTTTTATGAATTCTGTACCTAAATCTGGTATATTGTAATTACAAAACAGCATATAAAGCAAGCTGCTTGACGGCTGTAATAGGTAGACTACCCATGCAGACGACATTTTCGAATTCTAAGTCTAACTGTGATATATTGTAACTGCTAAACAGCATATAAAGCAAGCTGCTTGACGGCTGCAATAGGTAGACTACCCACAAATCCCATTTTTTTTTAAATCCAAGTCTAAATCTGATATATTGTAACTGCTAAACAGCATATAAAGCAAGCTGCTTGACGGCTGCAATAGGTAGACTATCCACAAATCCCATTTTTTTTTAATTCCAAGTCTAAATCTGATATATTGTAACTGCTAAACAGCATATAAAGCAAGCCGCTTTACGGCTGCAATAGGTAGACTACCCACAAACCCAATTTTTTTTAAATTCTAAGTCTTAATCTGATATATTGTAACTGCTAAACAGCATATAAAGCAAGCTGCTTGACAGCTGCAATAGGTAGACTATCCACAAATCCCATTTTTTTAAAATTCTAAGTCTAAATCTGATATATTGTAACTGCTAAACAGCATTTAAAGCAAGCCGCTTGACGGCTGCAATAGGTAGACTATCCACAAATCCCATTTTTTTTTAATTCCAAGTCTAAATCTGATATATTGTAACTGCTAAACAGCATATAAAGCAAGCCGCTTTACGGCTGCAATAAATAGACTACTCACACAGCCGATTTTTTTCAAATTCCACGTCTAAATCTGATATATTGTAACTGCTAAACAGCATATAAAGCAAGCTGCTTGACGGCTGCAATAGGTAGACTACCCACAAATCCCATTTTTTTTTAAATTCTAAGTCTAAATCTGATATATTGTAACTGCTAAACAGCATATAAAGCAAGCCGCTTTACGGCTGTAATAGGTAGTCTACCCACAAATCCCATTTTTTAAAAATTCTAAGTCTAAATCTGATATATTGTAACTGCTAAGCAGCATATAAAGCAAGCTGCTTGACGGCTGCAATAGGTAGACTACCCACAAATTCCATTTTTTTAAAATTCTGAGTCTAAATCTGATATATTGTAACTACTAAACAGCATATAAAGCAAGCTGCTTGACGGCTGCAATAGGTAGACTACCCACAAATCCCATTTTTTTTAAATTCTAAGTCTTAATCTGATATATTGTGACTGCTAAACAGCATATAAAGCAAGCTGCTTGACGGCTGCAATAGGTAGACTACCCACAAATCCCATTTTTTTTAAATTCTAAGTCTAAATCTGATATATTGTAACTGCTAAACAGCATATAAAGCAAGCCGCTTGACGGCTGCAATAGGTAGACTACCCACAAATTCCATTTTTTTTTTAATTCTAAGTCTAAATCTGATATATTGTAACTGCTAAACAGCATATAAAGCAAGCTGCTTGACAGCTGCAATAGGTAGACTACCCACAAATCCCATTTTTTTTTTAATTCTAAGTCTAAATCTGATATATTGTGACTGCTAAACAGCATATAAAGCAAGCTGCTTGACGGCTGCAATAGGTAGACTACCCACAAATCCCATTTTTTTTAAATTCTAAGTCTTAATCTGATATATTGAAACTGCTAAACAGCATATAAAGCAAGCTGCTTGACAGCTGCAATAGGTAGACTACCCACAAATTCCATTTTTTTTTTAATTCTAAGTCTAAATCTGATATATTGTAACTGCTAAACAGCATATAAAGCAAGCTGCTTGACGGCTGCAATAAATAGACTACTCACACAGCCGATTTTTTTCAAATTCCACGTCTAAATCTGATATATTGTAACTGCTAAACAGCATATAAAGCAAGCTGCTTGACGGCTGCAATAGGTAGACTACCCACAAATCCCATTTTTTTAAAATTCCAAGTCTAAATCTGATATATTGTAACTGCTAAACAGCATATAAAGCAAGCCGCTTTACGGCTGCAATAGGTAGACTACCCACAAACCCCATTTTTTTAAAATTCTAAGTCTTAATCTGATATATTGTAACTGCTAAACAGCATATAAAGCAAGCTGCTTGACAGCTGCAATAGGTAGACTACCCACAAATCCCATTTTTTTTAAATTCTAAGTCTAAATCTGATATATTGTAACTGCTAAACAGCATATAACGCAAGCTGCTTGACGGCTGCAATAGGTAGACTACCCACAAATTCCATTTTTTTAAAATTCTGAGTCTAAATCTGATATATTGTAACATTTTTTTTAAATTCTAAGTCTAAATGCTAAACAGCATATAAAGCTGATAAGCTGCTTGACGGCTGCAATAGGTAGACTACCCACAAATCCCATTTTTTTTTAAATTCTAAGTCTAAAGCTGATATATTGTAACTGCTAAACAGCATATAAAGCAAGCTGCTTGACGGCTGCAATAGGTAGACTACCCACAAATTCCATCTGATATATTTTTTAAAATTCTGCAATAGTCTAAATCTGATATATTGTAACTGCTAAACAGCATATAAAGCAAGCTGCTTGACGGCTGCAATAGGTAGACTACCCACAAATCCCATTTTTTTTTTAAATTCTAAGTCTAAATCTGATATATTGTAACTGCTAAACAGCATATAAAGCAAGCTGCTTGACGGCTGCAATAGGTAGTCTAAACTACCCACAAATTCCAGGTTTTTTTTAATTCTAAGTCTAAATCTGATATATTGTAACTGCTAAACAGCATATAAAGCAAGCTGCTTGACGGCTGCAATAAATAGACTACTCACACAGCCGATTTTTTTCAAATTCCACGTCTAAATCTGATATATTGTAACTGCTAAACAGCATATAAAGCAAGCTGCTTGACGGCTGCAATAGGTAGATACCCACAAATTCCACACAATTTTTTCTAAGTCTAAATCTGATATATTGTGACTGCTAAACAGCATATAAAGCAAGCTGCTTGACGGCTGCAATAGGTAGACTACCCACAAATCCCATTTTTTTTTAATTCTAAGTCTAAATCTGATATATTGTAACTGCTAAACAGCATATTGCAATAAATAGACTTCACACAGCCGATTTTTTTCAAATTCCACGTCTAAATCTGATATATTGTAACTGCTAAACAGCATATAAAGCAAGACTACCCACAAATCCCATTTTTTTAAATTCTAAGTCTGCTGATATATTGACTGCTGCAATAGGTAGACTACCCACAAATCCCATTTTTTTTTTTAAATCTGATATATTGTAAGTCATATAAATCTGATATATTGTAACTGAGTCTGATATATTGTAACTGACTAACAGCATATAAAGCAAGCTGCTTGACGGCTGCAATAGCTGCTTACGGCTGCAATAGGTAGACTACCCACAAATCCCATTTTTTTTTAAATTCTAAGTCTAAATCTGATATATTGTAACTGCTAAACAGCATATAAAGCAAGCTGCTTGACGGCTGCAATAAGGGTAGACTACCCACATACCCATTTTTTTTTTAATTCTAAGTCTAAATCTGATATATTGTAACTGCTAAACAGCATATAAAGCAAGACTACCCACAAATTCCATTTTTTTTTAATTCTCTGACGCTAAACAGCATATGCAATAGGTAGACTACCCACAAATCCCATTTTTTTTAAATTCTAAGTCTAAATCTGATATATTGTAACTGCTAAACAGCATATAAAGCAAGCTGCTTGTCTAAACTGATATATTGGCTGCAATAGCAAGCTGCTTAGACTACTCACACAGCCGATTTTTTTCAAATTCCACGTCTAAATCTGATATATTGTAACTGCTAAACAGCATATAAAGCAAGCTGCTTGACGGCTGCAATAGGTAGACTACCCACAAATCCCATTTTTTTAAATTCTAAGTCTAAATCTGATATATTGTAACTGCTAAACAGCATTTAAAGCAAGCAGCTTGACGGCTGCAATAGGTAGACTACCCACAAATCCCATTTTTTTTAAATTCTAAGTCTAAATCTGATATATTGTAACTGCTAAACAGCATATAAAGCAAGCTGCTTGACGGCTGCAATAGGTAGACTACCCACAAATCCCATTTTTTTAAAAAACTAAATCTGATATATTGTAATATAAAGCAAGCTGCTTGACGGCTGCAATAGGTAGACTACCCACAAATTCCATTTTTTTAAAATTCTGAGTCTAAATCTGATATATTGTAACTGCTAAACAGCATATAAAGCAAGCTGCTTGACGGCTGCAATAAGGGTAGACTACCCACATACCCATTTTTTTTTAAATTCTAAGTCTAAATCTGATATATTGT